CAAAATATCTCGGATTTTAATAAAAAAAAAAACATGTGAACACACATGAACAATATTATGTCGCAACATATCTCATCTAAAATACTTTCTATTTAGAATATGATTAAACATTATAAAAATAACTTACTGTATTATGTGGAAGCAAAATATCAAGGCAATCTGTGCTCCCAGATTCTGCATTTTTAGTAACGGCATGTCTAATATGGCATCGACTTCGCACTTCCTCGGATACAGATACTAACGCTAATTAAACATAAATATACAATAATTAATAATTTCAATTAATAATTTCAATTAATAAATAAAAAATATATCATCTTACCAGATAAGTATGCCACACTTTCTGGCGTGACTTCAAATTTGTCCCTTCTAAATGGTTTAGCAACAATGCCTAATAGCATAGTCAATACTCTAGCTGTTCTTGTAACAGTTGTAGGTGTAGGATGTCTATATCCTTTTAATAGATGACCAACCAAAGCAAAATGAAAGTTTGATTTAAATGAAAGTCCCACAGCATTATCTAATTGTTTAAAATGCCATTCTAAAGGTTCGCGTGTTAACATCATAACATGCTCCAAAGTCTAAAATATATATAAATTAACAAATTATAATAATGATAAGCACATAATATGATTATACAATTTACAAATACAAATTTGTAATACAAATTTTTTACTTTATCGTCAAATGTTCCTTGAGAATCCAAAGTATGCAAATTTTGCTCAAGAAGTGCTAAACCACATGCATATAAAGAAGCCTCGTCTAATTGAAGAATTGATGTTGCGACCCAAAATAAGTATCGATGTATGGGAGATTCCTTAAAAATATTGAAATTATTAATATGAATATTAATTTTAATATAATTATATGATTCATTGTTATGAAGTTATCAAATTATATTGATATGTACAAATTTAGTAAATTTTCAAATTTTATAATAAATTAATACTAAATATTAAAGATAGTTTGTATTAACATGGAGTTGCTTGAAATATATTAGTAAATAACAAAATATAACTTACAGGTCTAAGTAATGGTTGTAACCGAGTGAGACACATAATGATTGCTTCCAACAAAGTAATATCGTTAAAACTCTCAAGCGCTTTCACTAATATTCTTAGTAATTGTTTCATATCTTGATCGGTTATGCTTTTACTAATGCACCCGAAAACAATCAAAGCTCTAGGTTGAAGAGCGGGATTAAAATAGAATGCAAAATTTCTTGCTAAAGAAGTCCAAGTTTGTAGCCAATCACACTGTGGAATATCCCGCATACAAGCTTCCATAATTTCAAGAAGAGCATCCGTAATAATTTCTAAACTGGTTAACAAAAGTCTTTCTTTATCGTGTGTTCCTGTAACACTGCGCTCGTTGTTAAACCATTTCTCATTCGAATGCTTATAACTAGATCTAAATGCTGTACCCGCAGCAGATTTCACTTTACTAATTCCGAAAAGTAAATAAAATTTTGGGAGAGAAAATTCATCTAAACTCATTCGTAATATTCGATAAGTATCTTCTGAAAAGGAAGGGGAGCTACAGGTGCATAGTGAATGAATGCTATTGATAACCAAACCATGAGTAGAAGCACGCATACTCAGGCTTCCAGAACAAACTAGAAACGTGACTGTATGAAACAAATATGGTAAATGTTTTCCTACATCCAAACAGTTATTAAAAGATAACATTAATAAGTATCTTGCTAGGATAGCGATGTCATCCCATCTTGTATGTTGTTCTAATAATGGCGTCGGAGAAGTACATGTTTTGTCAACAACTCGACAAAGTCTTCCTATTACTTTTTTTGCTACTAATTGAACATTTCCAGAAGCCAATGCTACAGCAGTATCTGCCATTATTTCAACTGTTGGAGAACCAAGTCCAAAACTAACACTACGTTGAATAAAATTATCCAAGACTGTATCTATTAACTCTGGTAATCCTCCAATTGTGCTCCATATTTTAGCCTGTATACTTGGATACATTTCCACTTCTTCGATAGTTAATGTAATTAATTTTTCTAAAATTTTTGTAACTTGCTTCTGACGTTTCCCTCCTTCGTCATTCGTTTTATAAAATCGTAGAAGATTATTTAACCATGGAGTCATATATTCTAAACAAAGATGTTTCAATTCGATGCTTGACAATCTGAAACCTTGTATACATTCTTCTAGAAATTCCAGTGTAAGATGTGGATCATTTGTAGCCAAAGTTTCACTTAAATGTTTGATAAATATAGTATTATTTGATGGTATGCAAAGTCCAGATGTTTCCAAAAGTTGTCCTTCAATTTTTAAATCGAAAGTTGCAGTTAAAGCACACAACTGATTGTATGCTGCTGTTCGTAAATTTGGATCCGAACTACCAAGATTTAATAACGCCATGTTTAATAACGTTCCAGGTACATCTTTAGGTCTTATTTTTGGATGAATAGACACAGATTCTGGTTGTGATAATTCCCATCGATTTCTTATATGAATTATAGCCTGTACAATATTATCACAGTCTTGATGAATAAAAGATAATGGGCCAGTTTCATTTGAAATAGTCAATGTAAATTGATTGTCATCTACTAAACAAACTTCTTCTATTTCAGATGCATAATAAACATCATTTAAGAGAACAGAATGCGATAATACTTTGCATTTCTCCGCCGAGGTAATTTGTATAGCAGTTGGTCCGACTTTTACGGATACCTTAGTGTCTTTATGAGAAAGTTTCAAAACGCTATTAAAAACTTTTAAATCTTCATCAAGAGATAATGTAGCTCCAGGCAATTTTTGTTGATCGATATCGATTACATCATTTAAACGACCCGGTCCATCGATGAAAACTATCTTTCTATTACCTTTTAATGGTGCCAAAATTCTGTCATGGAACTTTGTATATTCTCTGACCCAACTATTACAATTATAAATATATGCGGCATGAATATTTTCATAGGCAACTTTAGGCAATACATAAAACCATTTCTGTAGGAATTCAGTTCTAAATCGATTGTCTGAACATGTGTGAGTAAAATCAACAACCAATTCAAATGGAGAATGGCAGAATGGTTTTAGAGTAAGAATAACATGATATATTAGCAGATCACCATTCGTATCGCCAATCCTATAAAAAAAAATATAAACGAAATTACATTAGCATATATATATATTTATTATAAACATAACAAACATTTTCATCAAATTTTTCTTTATGATATTACTTTAGAATACAAAATATAATTTCAAATGACACAGATTAATAAAATACATACTTGTAACGTCTGGCAATATAATAAAATACTGGATATCCTTGTTTACTAGTTCCTGCTTGATAAAAAATATTCAAATTTTTGATACTCTTAAATTCTTCGTTTTCATGCATATTATGTTTTACCATAATTTCTTCAAAATTAGTTGAAGACATGTCAATGTTCGACCATCGAGCGTAAGATGAAGAAAATAATAAACTATAAAAACAAATATACTTAAATATATATATGGAAGTTGCATGAATAGCATTTATAACAATGATTTATACAACAACAGAAAATGTATTTAATATTGTTACTTACTGAGAATCTATTGGTTTATGTTCTGGAGGACCAAGATAAGCCAATAATGTAGCCATTTTATCGAAAGGTCTTCTACCGACTGCTTTATGGTCCCGACTGCTGCTGAGATAATCGCCAATTCGTTCTTGATGATTCCAAAGCAATCTATGTAATGCTAAAACATTGGCATCCGATACAAATGACATCGGATGATTAGCTTGATCAACGGTTTCACAATCTGATGCTATCTGTATAAAAAATCTCCTCCCAATTTCAAAATGTGCACGTAAAAAGTCATTAAATGATAACATATGTTGTTCTTTACTAAATTCTATATGATTTGCAATATTTTGAAGAATTTTAGACATTAACATAAGACCTCTTTTAATGTGTGGAGGTACAGGTTTATTCACAATGCCCATTTCTTGAGGAGATACAATAGCTGGGTTAATAAATCGCAGAAATATTACTGTTCCAACAGCTCCAATATTATTTTGTGGACACTGTGGAAATCTTTTACTGAGTACTTGATATAAGCAATGACACATAGAGCGCAATTGTGGTGGAAATCTGGAACACAATAAAATTAATATAATGTCAAGAAAAACTACAATATAAAAACTAAATTGTAAAAGTTATTTAATAAAAAATTTGTTTAAATATTAATTATACTATTTATAATAACTTACCTATCAGCTGATGACACTATAGCATCAAATACTTTTTGAGTTAATGCAATCAAATTACGACCATTTTTTTCTATATCTTCATTAGCATCTATTCTTGCGCTATCAACTTCAAAACTAGTAGTAGGGTCATCTAACAATGGAGTAATTAAAGGTTCTAATAAATTTTGCAAATAACTGGCACCATAAATTTTAAAGCAAAATGCCATAATTTTGCTTCCAAGACTATTTCCTCGAAATAATGTTTGCATACAATCAGAAACTTCAACCTCACGATAAAACATATTCCATAAAAGAGAAGATAATAAGTGTTTTGCATCAAATAATGTCACAAAAACTCGTGCTAATTCGTCCATTTGATTTGTAGTTACTACATTAGCTAAAGCCATTGCAATAGGTAATTCTCCTTTGTCACTAATCATTGTAACCAGTTGGACCAATTGTTCAAACCTATCAGCCAGTACTGTTTCTGCTAATGTATCAAACTCTGTTCCTTGTTGAAGAATTTTGGTAAGAACTTCTATGAATGCTGCTCGTGTTTGTAAATCTGGATTGTAACCTAGGCCTATAAATATGCAAATTTAAAAAATATAAAAAATTGAAGAAATCAAAAGAAATTTTATATAAATCAATAACATTGATCAATAACATTATTGTATCAATAATATTAATATAACATTAATATGAAACATTATTAATAATATTAAAATTATAAAAATTATAAAAAAATTATTTTACTTACTTAATGAATGCATTAATCCACTATCAATATTTGCACTGAGAAGATTACTCATTGCTTGTATGGTAGCATTGCGTAAAGTAGATAATTTACCACTAGTTAAACGTGGTTGTTGAGACACTATTTCTTTATCTTCGCTAGTTGCTTCGTTGCAATCGTTTAATAAATTCATAAAAAGGGTAAAGTACTTTAAGAACAATTGAGATTTTGCTTCCATTAAATCACCACGGTCAGACTCTTCAGGTTGAAGAGGCAGACCTCGTAGCAATGCTCCAACTGCTTCCATACAAGCTTGATCCAAGTCTCTAAAAAATTAAACAAAATGAATATACATATTTAATATATATTTATAATTTATTATTATATACAAGTATATATAATCATATACAAAATTATAATAACTAATTACTAGCCATATGATAAATTAAATTCTATAAATAAAATATAGTTAAATTTTAGTATTAATTGATAATTAATTATTTGATTATTTCAATATGTTTCAATAATATTTCTTTCTTATGCATTATCAGATTAAGTATCAGTTTTATCAAAATTTTTATTGTACACGTAATAATATAAAGTGAGGCACCTAAAACAGGTCATCTAAATATCTTTGCTGTTAGTGGTGAGAGAAAAAAAACTTCGACCAAACTTAATTGGTGTTAAAAGACACATCAAGGTTTGAGGTTAATAGTTTTTGATAAATAAACATAGATAGAAACTATTTATTTACTTTATTTTTTTAAACGAAATCATATAATTTTTAATGTATTAAGTTCATCTTAGCATAGTTTACAAAAAATACAAAACAACATATAACTAGTTTAATTGTATTCTTATCCTCATCTTTCATACAATAGACTTTACAAAATTAAAGTAAATCTACTAAACTAATGGTTTTCCATAAATAGATTAATAAAATTTTTTTATAAAAAATACCGAGATGGACTTATTAATGCATTAAAAATTATGATTTCATTTTTAAAAAACAAAGTTGATTTTCACATGTCTTTTACATAATTACTCATTAAAAAACATCAGGTTATTATTATTTTCTTTTTTTTTGTTATTTTCAACCAATAACTGAGATATTCAGATTTTAGATATTTCAGTTTTATTAATTATTAAATTATATTAAAAAAGAAAACATTATTTAATATAAATTTATTTAATATAATTTATACCGCGTATAAATAGTTAAGTCTCCACTAGTAGATGGAGTAATTTGATGAGTGGCACCCATCACCCAATCAGTTAAATATTCGACAAGTTTGTTTCTAAATTTCATTTCCTGTCGAAATGCTAAATCATCTCGTCTTTTCATCATTGCTTCAACCAGTTGGCACAATTTTGTTTTAATAAGAATAGAATGTATAGTCATGTCTAAATGTCTAACATATCTGACAATTGCTAACATCATTCCTTCTATACTGGTCATTCCAAGATATTCAGAAGGTTGATCTGTTTTAGAATCCAAAATATTTTTCATTATGAATATTATATGCTCAATGAATTGTGTATTAACTTCCATTACTATAACTTGTCCTTGTTGATTAAAAAATTTTTCAACTATGCTTTTAATTTGATCAAAAAGAATTGGATACAGTGCAGGACTCATTTCGTGGCCAACCAATTCTTTAACATGTTTTTGAATTTGATTTCCAAATTTTTCATTATTGCAAATTAATAGACGTAATAAATTATAAACGAATTGTGTACAATATTGTACTTCCTGACTTGGACTTGATAAACAAGATGTGGGTTCTTGTTTTGAACTTTTTTTCAGTTCTGGATTTGGAGGCATTCCTGATAATGATCTATTTGGAGAGCGTTTTTGTAAACATACTCCACCCAAAGCACAAAGAAATCCTGTCATATTAGCCCATTCGTTAATTTGTTCTTCTAATTCGTGTTCTGAATTTTGATGTGATGCTCTTCGCTTCCCCATACTTCGGTGGAATGATTCTATCTGACTATCTTCTGTTTTAGATTTGGGGTAATTCACTAACTGACGCGAAGTTACTTCCCAATTTCTAAACGTTTCTTCCCAAGCCTACAAAAGAAAAATATTTTATGTTCATATTATTTTTTTTCTTTATTAAACAAACAACAAGTGGAATTACTTTATAAAATTATTTATATTATGATATTTTTAATAGTCGGATCGTGGTGCTGAATCAATTGTTTTCGTTATAATGATTTTTATATCTTCACGAACATATAGTCGAATTATTGTAAACAATCATTTAAATCTATAGTGGCCATTTATACTAAATATTTTGTAAATCTCCCAAATGTGTACAATTTATTGTAAAAAATACACCTTTATATATTTTAATATATCTAATATAATATATCTAATATATCTAATAGATATAATATATCCAAAACTATATTTTACAACATAGAAGTATTCCGATTCAGCATGACTTGGTAACAAGTCTTTTGGCTCATTGCTACAGATACCGTTGTCTGACTATTAAAATATACTATAATTTATATACTTTTCTTTAAAAACTAAAAAAAAAACTACTTCTTAAATTAGAACATTACTATATTAATATAATATTATATATACATATATATATATATATACATATACATATATACATACATATATATATATAATATATATATATATATATATATACATACAGACTGTATGCCATTTACACAGTGTTCTATTTTCCTCAATAAGACCATAATTCTTTTTTGTAAAGCAGCACGTCCTAAAAAGGATACAATAGGTTCGTGAAATGTATTAACATTAGTCACAAAACAATTATATAATGTACTGCGTATATTAGATAATTATTAGAATAAAAAAACAACAAAATAATCTTAATTTTATACATATATATAAATTATATTTTGAATAACACTTACCACAATTATAATCGTGATAGCATAGCCTACTTTCCCCGCTGGCTGTTATGGTAACAAGGTCTTTAATACTCTACTGCAGCCATATAAGGGTTATACTAATCAAAATACAAAGTGAATTCAAAAATTCATGAATGAATGTTTGAATTCAAGTAAAATGATCGTAAGTAGATACCCGAACCGAAACTAATTTTTAAAAAATGTTACTTTATGTTAATCTTTTTAGTAAATATGCATACTAGAAATTTATTTTTAATTAATATTTTATAACTTTATTCAAAATATATTGAAATAAAAGTAAATAAAAAAATCATAAAGTAATTTTAAAAAGAATAAAAGTATTTCTTTTTTTATACATCATAATAAAACAAAATTAAGATTGTAATGTCATTTTGCAGTTATCTTTCGATTCGAATTTCTACTTTAATTTTAGAAAAAATAGAATATTTTATATAAAGATTGAATATTTTGAACATTCACTCACCAGTGATTAACACAGTAGAAGCTTGTGCCAATTCAAGATATAAATGATAGTTTGGAAGTAAACAAGTTACTGCTACTTCATCACTACCACAACGAATTTCTGCTTCCTCACAAAGTAACGCAAAACAAGACATTGATATTAAGACTGCTTCCACATTTATACTCCATAAATACATAAAAAATACAACCTGACAAATAAAATACAATAAATAAACAAATATGACAATATTTTTAAAAGAAACAAATCTGTAATATATTATAAATTTAAACAAACCTCAAGTTTAATATGTGCTTGCTTACAAACAGCAATCTGGCTACCCACATTAGCATAATCCTTATTTTGTGCCAGAAAAGCATTTCTGCAAATTAGTATTTCTCTAAGCCATTTTAAAATACAAGTATAATTAACAATTTGATGTTGAATCAATTTTTGGGAAATTGAGAACAAAACTTGTGAACTAACATCCCAAAAAGTATTAATTGGTGATTCTGGATTCCATGCTTTTATTTTATCTGGATGATGCAATATCAACAATGCATCCATTGCTTCATGAGCAATGTCTGACATTGTTGGTTGATGAACTAAAGAAACTAAACCATTAATTAGTTCTAAAGTTGAACTTTGAATTTCATGGCCAGCTTTTCCTTGATTCTGTAAAATAAGAAATATGAATCACATAGCGATTATTTTGTAAGTTAAAATTGAAATTTTTATATAAAATACCTACATTTAATAGTAACATAGGATCAGCATGAATAAGTTTCACCATCCATAAAAGTAAATTTCTATAACTTGACACTTCTTCTCCGCGTTCTCTGTATTTATTTTGTTCTTTACCTTTAAGTGTTAAGCTTTGAATCATTCGCAACGGTGTATGTGATATGCAACTCTGTGTGACCTTATTTAAAATATCAGTAAACATATTTCTAAGTTCTGCACTACGAGAATACAGAAGATCTATTTGAGGCCACCATGGCAGTCTTGGTTGAGTTACAATTCTGAAATAGAAATTATTAATATTATTTTTAAAAAAATTATAAAATAAAAATTTATTATTGCATACAATAATAAACACTCTCCAATTCTAAACACAATTTATTCCAGAAAACGATTCAACTTCCGAGTTAAATTTCCACATAAAAAATAATATAAATTGAATTAATCCGTTCCAGAGCCGCCAAAATTTAAAATTTACCCAATTTAAAAGATTTTATATTTTATTTATATAAAACTTAAGTTTAAAATAAATACATTAGTAGATAAAGAGTGGCAAAATATTTGAACAAGATTTCATATACTAATAAATAACGATACAAAGAGAAAAACTGTTTTCATACTGATTTTACAGATCCCAGCAACAATTGAATAATAAATAAAATTTTATTCGTTGAATTCAACTCTGACAAATAATTCTTTGTTCGACTTTTCAATGTTCGAAAGTTGAAAGTTCAATATATTTAAATTTTAAACTAACAACTCATTTTCTTTATATATTTTTTAATTATGATAAAAATATTTCTTTTCTTACTTGTATAATGAGCTAACCAAGACAAATTGGTATGTCGATGGATAATTCAGATTCAAGCAGACTTTAAATACTTCGTTGTTATGAGGTTTAATGCGAAAGAAGCTAACAAAGCAGTCTATCATTAGATCGATGTCTTGGGCAACGTAGCTTTGACCACGAGAAAATACTTTCCCTGGATTAAAAAGTAGTACCATCAAATCATTCATAACATGTCGAACAAGTACGAAGATAACATTATTCGAATCTGAATTGTTAATATAAGTTGATGCTTTACAAAGTTTGATACAAGTAACTGCTGCAGCTTCCACTAAATGCCTACTAGAACTACCGTGCATTCCTAGGCCTCTTTTAATACTGTCAATAAATTGCTTTTTCTTTGAATGCCTTGGTGAACAAAGAGTACTAAAATCAGCATTAACTATTTCCTCCAAAACTTTTGGTGAAAGTATTAGAAGCATAATTTGTAAAGGCCAGACAGCAGCAGCTCTTCCTTTTTTATTGTCTGCAAATGTATCAAGGACATCAAATAGTTCTTCACAAGCTTTTCCTAAATCTTCATTAGCTTTTTTTTGAAGATCTGCAAATTCGTAAGAATAAGTATCCATCCAATTCCAAATTGCTTTCTCCAAAGAATTCATAAGAACTATATGAGCTGATTTTTTAAGTTGTTTGAATTTTTGTATCGCTTCTGTAATACAACAACAGATTTTATATACATCAATAAAAGAATTATAATTATATATCTTGCACAAAAAAAATCTATATAATCTGATAAAACATACACGCACGCGCGCACAAAGTGTAAATATAATATATATTACATTGATATTTGAATAATGAATATGATAAATTACCATTTAAAAGTTTTGTTAGCCTATATACATCCACATTAATATGCTGAATTAATTCAATATCACTATAATCAGCATTTTCATCTCCACATTTTGCTAGTTCTTGAAGTCTAGATGATATTCTATTAAATACAGCATTAAAGAAATTTAAACTTAATGCAAACAAAACCTTGCTTGCCAAATTTTTTAAGTGAGCATTTTGTGGACTATCATTTGGTATATCTAGAAATAATATTTTTATTTATTAAATCTCTATAGCGTTTTAAATATAATGCAAATATACTTATATAATATACTATAATATACTATAATATACTTATATAATATACTATAATTTACTATAATATACTTATATAATATAATGCAAATATACTTTTAAATATAAATACAATACAGACATATAAACATTTACGAAATATAATTACCTATAAACTGACATATCTCTTTAAGCAAAAATTTTACATTCATAGCCTCATCGAATTTAGCTGTATCTTTTGGTTGATTTGCAAGACACTTTTCCAAAGTGTCTAAAATAATGGTAATGGATTCATAACAATGCCGATCTTGATCTGTACTATGAAATATACGTTGCCCACCAATACATGGCACCATTTCATTAACGTTCTGAAGTATTTTGGTAAGACTGGATATTACAAGAGAGAAACGATATCGAGAAATTTGTATTAGGCATTTTTTGTTTCTCTCTTCATTCATACGAGAATGAGTAGTTTGAGGGCCACTGTGGCACGGCAACTACAAAAAGTATTAAATTTTAAATATATAATATAATGTAATTATGAATTGTTTGCAGTAATATTGTTTATATATTTTTACTAATTAATATGATGAATTTAATGAATGAATAAAATTATTGCATTACTTCCTATTCACTGATCTAACTAATATTATGTATATAATGTATAATAAAGTGCAATATTTCTGAGTTTTAATATAGAATTTTATATGTATCATAGATATATTAATAGCTGCCTTTTCTCTTTTTCCTTATTTTCATATACGGTTTATTTTTATTTGATAACTTAAAGATTTATAATCATATATCAAAATGTTAAATATGTTTAAGAAATATTTATAAAAGGAATAATTTTTTTAAGTTATTAAGTTATTATTCTAAAAAACTATTAGTAATGACAAATAATTAATAGTAATAAAACTAAAGACATAAAACCAAATATTTATTTAAGAACATTTATTCATATATTCAGATTTTTATATGTATTTTTATCAACTAATCGGAGACATTACTGCATATCTTTAACAAAAAATTTAGAAGTTATATGTAAACAGAATTTGATTGGATTTACTGAATGGTAAAAGTATCTACATACTTATATTTAACTTTTAACAAATAAAATATAAATTATATAAAAATTATAAATATAAATATAAATTATATAAAAATTATAAATATAAATATAAATATAAATTATATAAAAATTATAAATATTAATTTAATATTAAATTATATAAATATCATATCAATAAAATTAATGATAGTATTAGTAAAAAATAGTTCAACAATTTTTATTATTTTCACAATTCCCACAGTATGATTGATCATGATAGTAGTATAAAAGCTATGAATATAAAAAGTTAAAATGGAAATTGATATTAAAGATTTTGAAAAGAAAAAGAAAATTTTATAAAATTATAGCTAGTAAATTTTATAAAATTATACTTTTGGAAGAAGTAAATCTAAAATTCATTGTATTGGAAAGAACTGGAAATTGCAAGAACTCTTATAAACAAAATTCAAAGGAAGATATTGGCTGGATGAAAATGAAATATAAATATTTACAAAATTAAAAAATATTTAGATAGTTTGCAAAAGTCATGGAAACTTACTAATATATTTGGGAAAGTTATTCATCCAAATTTTTATTAATGATTTTTATAACGATTTTATATATATTTTTTTGTCGATAATGATTTTAACGACAAAATGATTTTTATAGTAGAATTATAAGTAGAATATTACAAACAAGTGAAGGAGATCAAATTTTGCAAAAGATATACATACATATATATCACATATGGTTTTTGTTTAAATATATATAATTCATATATCAACAAAACTTACATATATCAATAAAGCATAGAAATAGTTCTGTCATGAAATAGAGTAATTGTAACTGGCAATTTAGAATAATGCTAACTTTATAATATATTATATTATTTATAAAATTATAAATTTTAAACAAATATAAGCATTATAAGAAAATTTTGAATAAAATGTTGAAAAAATTAATTATATTTTCTTGTTATCATATTTTCATTTTCATCACAAGATAATGGAGATATCAATCTCCGATTCGGGAGAATACCATTTAAATTGCAAAACATTTATTATATAATAATGTTGTCAATAAATTAAAAATTAAATACTTATTAAATAAACAAAAAAAAGAATTATTTAAAAAAGAAATTTTATTAATGCATATTATAATAAATTTATTAATTTAATTTTGATTAATTAATAATACTGATTTAGAAGTATTATTGCCACCAAAGTCAACTCAAATGTTAATATATGATAATATAAGAAGTAATAAAATAAGGATCTGTACATCATCATAGTTTGTACTTATAATAAATATAGTATAAGCACTATATGTTTTCAATCATTTCCTAATTTTTTTTAATGTAATTTTAAGACTATTTCTTTTATATATATAATATATAATATATATAATATATAGTACGTGTGTGTGTAAATATTTTAAATACTTTTGTTTAACGTGGATGTTACTTGTTAAAAGTTACAAATATAAATGAAAGTATAACCATAAATTCAAATTCTTCAATAAGTTGTACGCGAAGTCAATGCAATTTTCATTCATGTGATACGACGGAAACGACGTTGTGTAGGTATGGAAGGGTTACGAAGAATGGAACTCTATAGGGTATGCCAATAATTTATTTCTAAATCTTTTTA